CATTTGAAACCGCAGCCATTCCCAGTGTGTATTTTCAAAATTGAATCTTAGTTCTTTTGGTGGTTATTCTTAACTTTGATTCATTCATAATGTAATATTGACCATGTAATTAGTTTCCATGGGTTATAATGATTATGCAAAATTCTCCTTTTCAATGAGTGAAGTTTTGCAAGGGGTTCAGCTATTTGTAACATATAACTTCTCTTCTTATGTACTCTTTCCATGCTAAAAGTTGTCTGGGCAGAATTTTAAACTTTGATGTTAGCTCATTCTATATGGGTACTGTAATTAAGTTTGTATATTTATTTCATGTAAACTTCATAGAACAATAAGGGAAATCCTGGGTTATACTTTCTATGGTTTTTAGCATCAATGTATCCATGTTTGGCTCAGTATAAAATTTAGAGCTGGAGAGGATTGAACAATGGCATTTTAAATAAAAATTAAGTAGTTTATACTTGCTGATGTTAAAGTAATATAGTTTTTGTGCATGTGTAAATATGTGTATTTAAATTTTGTTAATTATGTGATTAGCAGCCAGTTTGTATTTTTGTAGCCTTAAATCTCTCCAATCATCTTATTTTTGTGCATCCAAACATGCCAATAAGTGAATCATGGTGCCTTTCCCAAGCCTTGTATGAACAGGACTGGGGTAAGGGCTAATTTTTCTTATGCTGGGTGCTTGGAGTAGGCTTTATAAAGAAAATTCTGTGCTTCTCAGGCAATACAAAACATAAATTGAAGTGAGATCAAGACATAACTTGTTTAAACTAAGAAATATTTGCTTGTTTAAATCTTAATGAATGCTTGCCTAAAGTTTGAATTAATACATACTTGATAGCTCCCCCGCATAGAAGGAGGTACTTTCAGAGTGTTTTGATAAGGTGCTTAGTAGTACAGCCATAGGCAGCCTTTTTTCTAGATGAAATATTTTATTCCCACTCAGTTGACCACATTTCTTTAGTTTTAATTTAAGTTAGATGAGTAGCCTTTAATTTAAAAATTCAAGTCATCTAGTGTGGTATAAATATGCTTTGTTAATTTGATAATCCCCCCCCCAATAAAATGACAAATAAGTTGCAAATATATTGATGGTGACATTTTCACTGATCAGTTTCACACTTAGTTTCAGTTGAATGATTAATCTGCTGGTAATAAATATTAGTAGTAGTAAAAAAAAAGTTCTGACCAGGGTCATGGCTTCAGTTTATTCCTTACCAGTCAGCTTACTTTTTAAAAGGTCTTGTTGATATTTTTTCTGAGCTTTGAATTATAGACTAATTTGCATAGGAAACTGAAGACTAGTTCCGTTTTATGTATGTGCATTTATTTTGAGGAATGTTTTTAGGTGCAGACTTTTAATTGGAATATTCTGCCCTGGTGGTGGTTTGGGAAGGCAGCATTACTTGGGGAAGAAAAGTTTTATTGTTACCTCCTAATTTTCCATACCAATTTGGAGGCCCTGATTTTATTGGTGTTGCATTACCCAGTTTTTACCTCTGGATGGTAGCATTGCCTCATTTTCATCTATGTCAGCTGGCTTCATCATTTTTTACTCGAGAAGTGATTTCTGAGCATGTTGATTATCTGAGGATCCTTACTTTTGGCTCACAGGCTTGTTTTAAAGAACTAACAAATAATGTATTAAAACATTTTATTAGACTGCAAAGCCCTGTATGACTATATAAGTTACCATGTTTATTTTCGTTTTTTCGTCTTTACTGTGATTTTGTTTAGTGTTGCTTCTCTGGCATTGTTGAAGTACAACCTCTTTGGTGTGGTCAGAGGCAACATGCACATTATGTAAAGATCGGACATTTAGTCTAGGCACCAGCCTGCTTTTGAAAGTGGTGTAAGGCATTTTAACCTTCATTCCTTCCTGTCCTCTCCAGCCTAGTTCCAGATCTAGTCCGGATCTTCCACAGGGGCTGCCTTGGATCCAAGGGTCCTGGTGGGCTTAGGAGAGAAATGATGTTAGGAAGAGAAGAGAGTGGGCCATAGTAACCCTCCCTGCCTTCACCGAGAGGGTGTCTGTACCCGTGGAGCTTTTGTCATCCTTAATTACCAAGCCCCTTAGCAGTCCTAGGACATAGTAGGTGGAAGAACTCTCATTGAGAATGTTTTAAGAGTGGCAGAGACAAACTTTGGAATATTACCCAGGACTGGCCTGACATGTCTTTTTCCACTGCTCCAGTCATACTAAAAGTGGTTTCTTTCACACGTGCCCCCTTAATGTATGCATGCTGCCCAGCTGACTAGCCTTATCTTGAGTCCTATAAGAATAGGTTTTATTTTTCCTATATTCTTAAATAAATCTTACCTTTAAGAGTGGTAATAAGAGGAAAGTGAGGCTTTAGGAGTAATAAAAATTCCACTTTGTATTTAACTGTCTGGCGCCTAATTTAAATTTTCACAAGATTTATTTATTACCTGAGATATTAGTTTTCTTCTGCAAATTATCTTCGTAATGTTCTTTTAAAAATAGTGATTGCCTGAGATACATAGAATTTTACTTTGAAAGAAAAAAATGCATTCTTGTGATAGTCTGCTAGTCATATTTAGCTCTCCTGCTGGTGTTGTGCTGGGATTGTGGTGAGTCAGCTGTCCCTTCTGCATGTTGGTGGGCCTGTGGCAATGGGGGCTGATGAACTTTTCTTCTCTCCCTGCCCTTCTGTCCTCTTTTTATACTTCACAGGGGTAATTGTATTAAAATTCAGGAAGTACTATTTTATAGTCAGTGCTTAAATCAATCACATGTTACTAGGGATGGAAACAGTTATTAAGATATCTAGATATAGAAGAGTCAGGAGTTTTAAAATATTATAAAACATGGACTGGTTTTAAGAAAAATTACATTTATTCTCCTAATCTAAAGATGTTAAAGTTTATGAGGTGAAACATTTCTTGTTAACGAAAAACTATCACTATACAGTCAGTCAGTAAACATTTATTAAGCACCTACTATGTACCAGGTATTATGCCAAGCATTTAAATTAAAATTGGATCTCTAGCTTTATGTAGGTATTTTCTTAGGGAAGTAACCTAATTTGGGGCAGAATATAGTCCAAAATAATTTTAAAATGATATGTGTTTTTATACTCACACACTCTTTTTAAAAAAATGCCTCTTTGTAGTTAAACTTCTATTAAAGCAGGAGGGAGACAGAACAAAGTGAGATTTGATGTGCCAGGCTCAGATGCTATGTGTTGTGTTTTGGCAGGTGTGTCAGGCACAGCCAGTGTCTGATCAGTATCAGACATGGTCTGGGAATGGTTGGTTTGGTAAGGTGGGATTTTCTGTTCTACTTAAGCCTTCATCAGCATTCATTTTGTGTTTTAGAATATTGCTGGGTAAGGAGTATTGCTTAGAAAACAGAAGACCTTAATTTTAAAAGGAAAAACTCATCAGTTAGCGAAGGGCATGTTATAGATGCCTTATTTGTAAAGTAGTAAGTTTATGCTTGAGTAAAGTCCCTTTTAGCTTGAGAATTTACATTATCTGAGACAGGTTAGATCTGATTGAGCTCATAACGTGGAAAGGAATAGTCATACTTCAATGAAACATTTCAATTTGCCAAGCTTGATTAATTGTATGGGTACAAAGACAAAAATGAAATTGTCCTTTTCCTCAAGAAATTTATGTCCTTTTCGGTTCAAGTTGATAGTACCACAGTTAATGAGGTGAACTATAGAGGAGGTTCCTTAAATGCAACAGATGCTTAAAAAAGGATTAGTCAATAATGACAGGGCACACAGAGCATTTCATTGGGGCGGCATTGTGCTTACAAGCACCTAGTGAGCTAGAGATAACAGTTATTATTCCCGCCATTTTATAGATGTGTAGTATGAAGCTCAAAAGAGGCTCAGTGACTTAGCCATCGTCATAGAGCTGGAAAGGAGCCGAGCTGGGACTGGAATTCTGTTCCTCCGAGACTCGGTCTGGGACTTTCCCCTCTACACCATGTTGCCCTCCATCAGAGAGACACGTTACTTTCTGCCTGGAGAGGGTTGGAAGTGCAGGAAAGGGGCAACGTTTTACTTTTAAATTATTCTAGGTTCTGAGATTTTCAGAGTGTGTGCAGGGGGGAGAATCCACTTAATATTGAGGATACCTGTTTTATCCCCACACAAAAGCGTGTCATCCCAAACTCTCATAATTTTGCTGGGTAGGCTTTACCATCCTTCTTTTAGTCCGTTTTCAGTGTGTGACCCAGGTTCTGTTGTAAAAGGTACCTCTTCATCTGTGTGGCACATAATCCGTGTTAAACAAGAGAGGGGAAAAAAGGGCCAGTGGCTTGCAGACATTGCCACATGCCAGTGTTAAGTCCCTTACCCCAGTTCCGTTGTCTTTTTTCCTTCCTGGATCTGAGCCTTTTTTATCCCAGTCTTAGCAGCAGGCACGTTTTCCCGCACCCTAGGTGCCACAGCAGACATTGTTCACCATCATGCCCGGGGGACTGTAAGCTCCTGTAGTACAGGGATGGTCCCCAATTTTATTTGTATCCCCAGCAGCGAGCACAGTGCCTTGCACAGAGCAAGTGCCTGGGAAGTGTTTAGGGAGATGAGGAAACTCATTGCTTGTCAGCGACTGGAAGTCACAGCTGAAATAATTTGGACTCCATTGGTTCTCTCTTCCTGGCACTGTTATTGATAATAGGAAATAACTGAATGAAAGGAAACGAATGAGAGAAAATCTTAGGTACAAATATTTGTAGGTGAATGTTCATAGAAACCATTACAATGGTTATTTCACAGTTTATTCACGGAGAGCAAGAGCAAGACAGACAGACAGTAAGACACGGAGTAGTCATCATCACCTATCGGCCACTTGTCAGATCTTATTTGTCTGGCGCTAAGAAGAGCTGCCCCTGCAGCCGAAAACCATGACCGCTGGTTGTTCCTCTGTCTTGTTACTGCCTCTCTCTCTGCCCCAGGAGTGAAAAGTCAAACGCCAAGCTTCAGTGGTAGGATTTCCCAGCTGTTTTCCTTTTCTCATTCTAGCTTTTGAGGAACTTGAAAAAGCTTTGAGCACAGCACAAAAAACTGAAGAAGCCCGGAAAAAAATGAAAGCAGAAATGGATGAACAGATAAAAGCAATTGAAAGAACAAGTGAGGAAGAACGCGTAAATCTGCAGCAGGAGCTAAGCCGGGTAAAACAGGAAGTTGTAGACATTATGAAGGTAAGAATGAGATTCCGTTAGACTGAGAAATCAAAACTTATGGTTTAAAATTTTTTATTTTGTGTTTAATCAACAAAATAAATGTATGAGAGAGATTAATGGCAGCTTATCACTATCACTATAACGTATTCTAGGTTTATGATTATATTCAAACATTTTTATGCAGTTTTAAAAAGAGATTTTGTTGATATCTTTTGTTCTTAAGTGTTCTAGATTTCCCCCTCTATTCCCCACCATTTTTCCTCCTAGAAAGCCATCCCTTATAATTAAAGAAATTGAAATAAAATAGAAAGAAAAAAGGAGAGTAAGAGGAAAAAGTGTCAGCAAAACTGATCAACTCGTTGGAAAAAAAATCCGATGTTGCCTGTAATATTGTGTACCCTGTGTACCCTGACTTCCACAAAGCAGCTCAGGGAAGTATTTTCTTAAGTTTCTTCTTTGGAGCCAAGCTTGTTTTTTTATAATTTTGCAACATTTATTTTCAGTCATTTTGTGTTTTTTTCCCCTTTCATGTAGTTTTAATCCTCATGATTGATCAGTTGATAGACAATTTATTAAGTGCCTGTTATGTGCCAGGCTGTGGGATTATAAAAAGAAGCAAAAGACAGTCGCTGTTTACATGGGAGAAGTATCAAAGAATTGGGGAATCGAGAATAGTCTCGTTATCAATTATTAATATTTTTAAATGGATAGTAACCTTTGTTTAAAAAAATTACACTGTTGACTGATAAATATAATAAGACATTATATTTTATTGTATATGAATAATTTAAATAGAAACAAAAATTTGGTTTAGTTTTTATGGGCACGTGCTAAACCCTGCGTAGGAGATGACAGCATTAAGGATGTATAAAGTGATTTCTGCAGTTCAGTGACTCAGTGGGTTTGGATGGAATTTGACTTCTTCCTGTTTCTCATCACTGCTGTAGTTCAACACAGTGAATGTTGCTTTCCAGGGCCTTTAACTGTGCCCATTTGACTGATATTTCAGAAAACGTCCGAAGAGAGAATTGCTCAGTTACAGGAGATGTATGCTGGGGAACTCGCTAACAAGGAGAGGGAGCTCAATGAGAAATTTCAGGCTCGGGAAGAAGAATTCCAGAGGCAATTGAAAGCAGCTCTTGTAAGTATTTGCTGTATTGGTTTTTGTAATTAAGCATAGTAGCGTCCGTGTTTTTTGTTTGGTTTGTTTTGGCAAAATGCTTTGGAATCACACTTATCCAGAAATCAGACTTTTTTCTTCCTCAGCTGGAAGTGAAAGGACATGAACAAACCTGTGAGCTCCACGAATAACTCTCACAGAACTCTGCCCTCAGGTCCGAGGCTGTTCATCTTAAATTGTCTGGAAATTAGTCCATGATTGTACAAGTTGAGTTACTTGGTTTTTCCTGCAGTTTTATACTTTTTAACTTATAATGGAGAGCAGATTACCAGAAGAACTCCAGTGCACTCTCACTCCTTAGAAATGACCACATGTATTCTCAATACACCAGGCATCCAAGACAGTTCCAAAGGACTCCTGATGGAAAATGCTCTCCACATCCAGAGAAAGAACTGATGGAGTCTGGATGTGGACTGGTGTTTACTTTCTGCATTTGTGTGTGTGTGTTTTTTTCCTATAGTCTGTTTCTTCTTTCTTAACATGACTAATTTGAAAATAGTTTTACTTGATTGCACATATATAATCTATATCAAATTGCTTACCATGTTAGGGATGGAGTAAGTGAGGGAGGGAGAGAAAAATTGGAACTCAGAATGGTTAAAAAATGAATGTTTGGGGCAGCTAGGTGGCGCGGTGGATAGAGCACCGGCCCTGAGGTCAGGAGGACCGGAGTTCAAATGCGGCCTCAGACCAAACACTTGACACGTACTAGCTGTGTGACCTCGGGCAAGTCACTTAACCCCGATTGCCTCACCAAAAAAAAAAAGAGTGTTAAACAATGTCTTTACATGGAAAAAAAAACACTATAAAAATAAAATTAAAAAAAAAAAAGAAATGAATGATCGTGGACTTCAAGAGAGACTCAGCAACATCCCATTTTCTGTCAGCAACTTTTTATTGTAAGGACAAATAGCCCTTCCTTCATAACCTCATTAAGATTGAATTATCAGAACAGTGTTAAATTATTTTTGATATATTATTTAATAAAGCCAAGAAATATGTGATGTATTTTAGAAGAATTTTAATTTTTAAAATGCTTAAAATGAATTAGTTCTTAAAAGGGTAAGTTTCAGTTATCTGAAAAAATTAATATATGTAAAGTATTCCATTTCTTAATAATTTTAGGTAAATGAACTATTCTATATGGAATATTCTGCATAAATTATTTAAATGTTTCATGAGCTTGAAATAGGTCTATTTTCTTAATTTTAAGGGAGAAAAACAAGAGATAAGATTAAAATGTTCAGTTAGCTTAACAAAATAGAATAGAATAATTTCTTACATGATAAGGCACTGCCAAAAATTAACACCTGTCAATAGATTTTAAAATGAAAAGCAATTTCTATATTAGTAGGATGTAGGCCATGCTTTTCTCCCCAACTGGACTTGTAAACAAATGGAGCACTCTGTGTGAGCGAGGTCAGGGACCTTGTACTTAGACCAACCTGGCCTCGACTTCTCTTCCTTATAGATTTATGAGGACAGGGTGGTTCCTTATTGTTGGATAGGCATTCGTGGGTGTAGTGGTGAATGGAGGTAGTGGAGGGGCTGGTGGCATTACATCCTATTCAGTAATAGGGTATCTAAGCTTTGTAATTAGTGAGGAAATGCCTTGGGGGCAAATGCCAGTCCAGTGTTCTCCATTACAAAACAGTATCGGTGGGTAGCTTTTTGATCATATGTGTGTGGGAGAGAAAGTCAGGAGCCTTTTTTAGGGTCCCCAGAGAACTAAGATCTGGGCTAAGTATTGGAAGGTTCCTTTGGGACTGTGAAGGAGATGATGGAATGGTATGGGGTAGAGAAATCCCTTTCCCCTATTTCACCACTGAGCTGTGTAGAGAGCATGGAAAGGGAAGGATGGTGGCAAGTGCTGATGACCATTCTTTACTTAAAACAAACGTGCATATTGTCCCTTCTCTTGATGTTCCACAATTTTATCTTTATTTTGGATGGGATGTTCTGGGCAGCAGGAAATGTGGTGGGAAGGAAAATTGCAGAGCACTTGCTAATGGCACTCTTCATCTTATATCAATGTAAACTAGTTCCTTTTATTGAAAATAGCTTTCTCCCGAACAGATATGTTTTATGTGGTGATTATGTGTAATTCTTTTTGGTGCATGCCTTTCCAAGAGCTCTGACGCTCAGGGTGTCTTCTGTTTGTGGGCAGCCTGCATTTCAGTCACAGCCTCAGAGAATTAGAGAGTTGGAAGGGACCTCAGACGCCGTCTGTGCCATCCCATATCTGAAGGGAACCCCTAGTGTGACATGCTCGACTGGAGGTTAGCTAGTCTCTGTTTTTAAAGACTTCCGGTGAAGGGGAGCCCATCACTTCTTGAGGCAGTCTGTTCTGTTTCTTACACATCTTCTTGTCAGGCAGTTGGCCTGAATTGTGTTTTTGAAACTTCCTGTAGTCCTGCTTTCTTGGGCCAAGCAGAAAAAGACCAACCCCTCCTCTATGTGATAGAACTTCAAACACTTGAATTCAGCTGTCATGGCCCCTTGCAGGCTTCTCCTTTAGGCTAAACATTCCCATTTCTTTCCATTGATGTTCATATGACGTGGTCTCAAGGCCTTTTGCCACTCCCTAGGTGTTCTTCCCAGGACACTCCAGCGTCTAGACGTGAACACGACTCCAGATGTGGTCAGACCAAGGCCAGGTACAGCAAGACCGTCCTCACTTTAATTCCTATAAGTCAGTGCTCTGCTAAGGCCCACTTCACACTGCTGGCTCCTTGAATTTGCAATCTGCTAAAATCCTCAAATCTTTTTCAGAACAGCTGCTATGTAGACATGCCTCTCTTATGCTGGACTTGTGAATATTCTTTTAAGGTTTTCCATTTCCCTCTATTTGTATCTCAATTGTAGATGCATGTGTTTTCTCTTTCAATGACAAAAGGGTCATAGATCATAGATTCAGAGCTCAATGGGACCTTGGATATTATCTAATTCAACCTCTTTATTATACAGATGAGGAAACCAAGGCCCAGAGAGTGTCAGTTACTTGCCAGAGGTCACAGAGCTAGTAAATGTTAGATGAGTATTCAAAACTAGATTTCACCTAGCTCTGCCACTTTCTCTAAAGCACCATGTGGCTTTTAAGAGGCAGCATGGTCCATAAGTGAATTTTGGGGTCATTAAAATATTGGGATCATTTACTGATCCCAAGGTGTATTCCCTGGTGCAGTCTTCCACTTTTTTCAGTATAAGTATTCTCTCAGCAACCTTCTACAGTTGTGCATCTTAGAAAACCACAGTCCCTAAGGAATTAAAGTTGCAGGTAGCCCAGAAGACAGTGGAAAGATGATGATGGGAGTGAAAACTGGTGTCTCTGGGATGACCAATGCTTAAGAGATGGTGTTGGGGATATTCTTCAGGAAGGACATGAGATGGGTAAAGGAGGCTGGCCCATCATGTAAATGAGGGGTAGCAGAGGGATGACCTCATGCTTCATTGACACCTTGATGTTTAAGAACTTTAGAGGAAGCTTTTAATGTGTTTGCTGGATTCTCTGTGATCTGCAGAAGAAAGGAGGTAAGAGTCACCCAGGCTGAGTGGGCATCAATGTGTTGTGACTCCCTTTGCAAGGAGTGTCCATGCCAATGAGCTTACCTTTATTTCCATTGACATATTTTTGAAAACCACTTAGTTTATTGGACAGCAGCTATGCAAGCAGGAAGAATTTATGAAAAGGCAGTGATCTTAGGACTGTGATGGTCATCTTCATGTTAATAGTGATTCTAAAACCAGACAAAGATTAGCTAAAACAGGCTCTCGTTCCTTGTTTCAGCAAAGTAGAACATGGAAGGAAAAGTGAGTTAATGTTTCTGTTTATTGTTTATAAGGATTACCAGTGGTCATCATTCTTTTTTTTCGTTGTCAGCAGTTATTGAGTTCTTAAAAAGTACTTGATGTCTGTGCCATTATCTTTCCTCTCTTAATTGTTAGTTATTTTGTTATGCTTTAAACCCTCATTAATTTGGATTTCACTAATTTGGAATCCGTGATAATTGGGACAGTGTCTGGCTTCAGTTTCTGATTCCTAATGGAAAAAGGGCCTGACTAAGCAAATGAAAACTACTTACCACCCCAGTTAACAGTTTGAGTAGGATCACAAAGGAAGTGTCAGCCTATTTAGGAAAATTGTTTTCCTGCATGGCAGAGGTGACTATTGACATATAAACAGTGTCAGTATGAATTGAAAATACAGCCCTTGTTACACTGGGTGCTTGTAAATGTTTCATGTTATTGAAGCTCTTGGTCACACCAATTCTAACTACTTTAAAGGAATTGTATTTCTTTCAAAATATTCTATACTGCATAGTTTCTACAAGTCAGCCAAGTTCTTGTCTGGCACGTTAATGAGGTTTGATTTTTTTATTCTAACTTGTGATTATCATGACCATGATGAAATATTGATCATTTTTTATCACAGGAAAATAATCAAACAGAGTATTTGAAAACCACGCGAGAAAAAGAGCAGCAAGAATCCTTAGCTCTTGAAGAATTAGAATTGCAGAAAAAAGCTTTACTCTTAGAAAGTGAAAATAAGCTTCGGGACCTACAGCAAGAAGCAGAGACCTATAGAACTGTAAGTTAAAAAAAAACTGGAAGTTAAAAAAAAAAGTACTAGGGATATATCTTTGGGCAAGCATTTCGTGTTTCTGGGTAAAATGAGCATGTCTTTCTAAGTAATGGCTATAATAGGGGTTGGCACACTACAACCTGTGGGCCATATCAGGCCCTCAATGCCTGTTTTTGATTTTAAAAAATGTAAAAATCACTCTTAACTTTGCAGACTATACGAAAAGAGGTTGCTTGTCCTGTGGGCCATAGATTACTAAAGCATGGTCTGTAGACCATGCTTCCTCCTGGTTCTGAAATATTATGGTTCTAGTGCCATGTATCCATTTATATATTGTTAAAATAGAAACAATAATTTTTTCCACTAACTTATTAGTGAATGTGTTTAATTTGGTGTGATTTTGATACCACTATTTGTTTTCAAAAGGTGGTACAATTCCATTATCTGACGTGGGTGATGACCGCCCTTAGAAACTGTCTGACATATGTGTCTGTTTAAACAAAATTGTTGCAGATTTATTACTTCTCATCACTATGACATTTCCTTTATGTCTTTGCTTTCATAGAAATGGCCCTCAATACAATTGTTGGTAAAAGTCAGACACATTCCTTTTAAAGTATCTATCTCTGAAAAGTTATGGTAATAGCTTTCTCCCATCTGTGATGAAACTTTTGGTCTTTTCGTTTTATGGTTTCTTTGTAAAATTTGCAATGAAGGGGGCAGCTAGGTGGCGCAGCGGATAGAGCACCGGCCCTGAAGTCAGGAGGACCTGAGTTCAAATCCAGCCTCAGACCAAACACTAGATGCGTATTAGCTGTGTGACCTTGGGCAAGTCACTTAACCCCAATTGCCTCACTCCCCCCCCCAAAATTAGCAATGAAGGAGGTATAACATTCTTTCTGGTTGTCTAATTTGATAGGCAAAATTGCTTCTTTCTCATCAATCTCTTTCGTCTGAGCAGTTTGTAAATATTGTGTCAGTATTAGTCATGCTAGTCAATATATGCCTCCATTAAAATACATACATTCTCTTATTTGTAGAGAGTCCTGGAGTTGGAAAGCTCCCTGGTCAAGTGCTCTCAAGATAGCAAGAATCAGGTAGAAGAGATGTCCTTCCAAATGGAATCTGAGAGAAACAAGCACAACACAGAGATCACAGTCATGGTTGAAAACCATAAAGCGGAGTTAGAAAGTTTGCAGAAGCAACAGCAGCAGCTTTGGACAGAGAAACTTCAAGTCCTAAAGCAGCATCACCGGACTGAAGTCGAGAAACTCAGGGAGAAGCATGAGCAAGAACAGGAAGCGTTGTTGAAAGAGAAGGAGACCGTGTTTCGTGGGCACATAGAAGAGATGAATGAGAAGACGTTAGAAAAGCTTGACGTGAAGCAAACAGAGTTAGAAGCATTATCTTCAGAGTTGTCTGAAGCATTAAAAATTCGACAGAATCTGGAAAAAGAGCTCTCTGTCTTGAAGAGTGAGAAGGATCAGGTAAAGCGGGAGCTTGAGGCAAAGCTGGATGAGCAGAGAGTTCAGCACCAGCGGCAAGTCGACGTGATGCTTGAAGAGCAGAAGCGGTCTGTCCAGGACGTTGAGAAGGTCATGAAAGAGGAAATCAAGCAAGTCGAGCTTCTGCTAAAGGAAAAGGAACGCCATCTGGAAGAGCAGCAAGCGCAGCAGCAGAAATTAGAGGAATCTATTAAAAGAGCCGAAACTGAGCTCAAGCAAGCATCAGATAAGATAGATATTTTTCAGTCGCACCAGAATAACTCAAATGAGCAGGTTAAAGCCTATGAAAGGCAGCTGACCGAATTGCAACAGAAATGGGCTGATATGGAAGCTGAGAAAGATCACCTTGAAAAACAGGTAGCAGAAGCTGACGTGCAAAAGGATCATCTCAGTGCAGAACTGGATTCTTACAAAACCCAGGTGCGAGACTTAACGCTGCAGCTGGAGAAACACAGTAATGAAATGGATCAAAAACTACGTTCTCTAACCGATCAGTATGAGTCTCAACTAAAAGATCTTAGTACAGAACAAGAGCAGACCAAGCAAAGCTTGGCTGAAAGGGAGAATGAAATTTTACACATGAAAGAACTAGAGAACCAGGAAATAGAGAATTTCAGGCAAAGATTGTTAGCCAACGAAGAGAGCATTAAGACTTTGGAAAAAGAATATGAAAACAGATTAAAGAATCAAGAAATCAAGATGGAAAAAGTTAAACAGAAAGCCAAGGAAGTACAAGAAACCTTCAAGAAGAAACTGTCGGATCAGGAAGCGAAGCTGAAAAAAGAGCTTGAAAACACACACTTAGAGTTCAGCCAGAAAGAAAAACAATTGAATGCAAAAATGCTGGAGATAGCCCAGGCTAGCTCCGCAGGAATGAATGATGCGATTTCAGAACTGAAGAAGAACCAGCAGGAGCAAGTGCGAAGTCTCACGGCAGCCCATCAGCAAGAACTCAGGGACGTGGTGGTCAGCTGGGAGAGGAAGGTCAGCCAGCAAGCCGAGGAGCTGCGGGAGAAGCACGAGCGCGAAGTGGCCGGGCTCAAGCAAGAGATGGCGGCCGTCAGGGCTGACAGAGAGATGGCCAGCAGAGAGGTGACCTCGCTGCGGGAGGCGGGCACGGAGCAGGGTGCGCTGCTGGAGCAGTTAGAGGGGCAGCTCACGACGCTGACGCAGGACGCAACAGACACGAGAGCTCAGCTGGAAACGCTGCAGGCCGAGAGGGCTGCTCTCCGCCAGCAGGTAAGTGAGTTGAAGACCCTGGAAGAAAAAGATAAGCAGAAGTTTATGGAGCTGACTGAGAAGTTGAACAGTACTGAAGAGCAACTCCAGGCTTTGAAATCTTCACGTGAAGGATACGAGAAGAAAGTAGAGGCCGACCGCTTGCACTTTCAGAGACTGTCTGAAAAACTAGCAGCACAGCTGCACACGTGCTGCCGGGAAGCCGAAACCTTACTGCAGACTAAAGCCGGTGAACTGATGGAGAAGAGTGACAGTAAAATCAAGGCTGCTCTTTCTAGGGTTTCTTACTGCCAGCTTCAGACCAGTAAAGTGAAAGAAGCTCTATTAATTCAAACTCGTAAAATCCCTGAACTGGAAGCAAAGCTTAGACAAGCAACAGAACAACAACATGTATTAAGTAATTCTTTACAACATTCAGTTCATCAATTGGAAGAAAAAGAAAATCAAATCAAAAGCATGAGAGCTGACATTGAAGGCCTCGTCACAGAAAAGGAAGCGTTGCAGAAAGAAGGAGGCCATCAGCAGCAGGCTGCCTCTGAAAAGGAATCTTGTATCACTCAACTAAAGAAAGAGTTAGCTGAAAACGTCAATGCCGTCACCTTGATGAAAGAGGAGCTTCGAGACAAGAAATCGGAAATCGGCAGCCTTCACGAGCGTGTGAGGGACCTGACCGTTCAACTTCAGAATAGCGTTAGCCTGACGGAAAAAGAGGAGGCCGCGTCCCTGATGAGTCAGCAGCGTAACGAGGCCCAGCGGGAGCTGCTCAGCCAAGTCCAAGATCTATCCTCGACGGTCGACACCTTGAACAAGGAGAAAGCGTCAGCTCTTGAACAGGCTGATCACTGGATGAGTAAGTTCTCTGAGTGGAAGAAGAAAGCACAGTCAAAGTTTACGCAGAATCAAAATGCTATTAAAGACTTACAGATGCAATTGGAGCTGAAAACAAGGGAATCTAGTGAAAAAGATGGACAGATAAATTCATTAAAGGAGAGTCTTGATCAGGAAAAAGAAAGTTTTAAAAGTTGGAAGAGTGAGCTCGAAGAGAGGGAGGGTAAGGAGGAGAAGCACAGATGTGATGTGCTAGCTGAGCTAAACATCCGGGCGGCCAGAATCGCGGAGCTAGAGGAGTGTGTTGCCCAGACAACAACAGAAAACGTGCGCTTGGCAGAAGAGCTTAAGCGACACTGTGAAAGCGAAGAGCGGCTCCGGTGTGCCCGCGAGCAGGCGGAAGAGCGGCTGCTGCAGCTCCAGAAGCAGGCGGATTCCGTGCGGTCCGAGCTGGAGGCTCAGCGGACTGAGACGGAGCGCGCCGTCGCTTCCAGCGGCAGAAGCAAGGCGGACGAGTTAAAGGCACTGCAGGAGCGACTGGACGCAGAAAATGCCGCCAGGCTGGCAGAATTGAAGAAGAAGGCGGAACAAAAGATCGCCACCATCAAGAAGCAGCTGCTGTCCCAAATGGAAGAGAAGGAGGAGCAGCACAAAAGAGAAGCAGACAGCCGGGTGACAGCGATGACCCGGCAGCTGCGGGAGCGAGAGCGTGAGGTTCAGCAGCTCCGTGAGCAGCTTGGATCCGTGGGCAGGCGGGCATCGGAGCCAGGAGAGGCCACGGCTGGGGCGGCCTCCTCCGCGGAGCCCGTGGGATGGGCAGCGGAGGGGGAGGCTGGCAGCGAGGAAACGCCTCGGACTGAGATGCGGGAGCGTCTGACAGGGTGGGAACAGGTGGAGAAAAGGCGGCCGGGGGAGCCGGACTCGGAGAACGACGTCAGAGCGGGCCAGAAGATCCTCCCGAAGAAGGGCCGAACGGGCCAGACGTTAGAGGAGAGAAAGGAGAGGGAAGAAGCCAGAGCTGCAGCGGAGCTGCTGACGTCCAGCCCTGGACACTTCAAGGCTTCTCAGCAGCAGCTGGAGGAGAAAGAGGAGCCCGTGGAAGTTGTAGGGGACGGTGGTGGAAGCAGCCCAGAGGCCCGTGCAGCCCAGGCCCAAGTGCTCCCTGGCACACGGAGCCAGCAGGAGGACCTGAGGTCTGAATTCGAGGAGGCCGAGCGGGACAGACAGCGGCTGCGCAAGGAGGTGAATCGCTTGCGGGGGGATTTGCGGACTCTGAGGAAGGAGCATCAGCAGGAGTTGGAAATAACCAAGAAAGAATGTGAAGAAGAAATGGAAAAGAAAATGAAGTAAGTTTTGTCATGCCCTGAAAGTCAGCACACATGACGTGCCTGCTGGGTGCGAGGCATGCGTGTCCTCGGGAGCCTGACTTCTGCCCCGAGAGTAATCAGCAAACAGAGAAGGGGTAGTAGCCGAGAGGGTCCCAGGAGAGGATTGGAAAAGGGAAGTGGCCAACCCGCTGAGAGGTCAGTGGAACCAGCCTGCGAGGTCTGAAACACCGTGCCACGTTCTTATTTTAACCTAGGAGTAGGAGGGAGCTGTTGAATAGGGAAGTGACGCGGGCAGACTTGGGTTTGGGGGCCAGATGTTCATTTGGCTGCTCTGTGGGTGGTGGAGCAGAGCAGAGACCCTGGAGAGGAGACCTGGTGGTGGTGGTGGTGGTGGGAGTAGGAGTAGGGGTGGGCTGCTGCAGGAGTCCAGAGCAAAGGCGATCAGGGCCTCGACTCGGGGATTGGAGAGAAGGGGGTGCGTACGAGGGAGCAGTGAGTCTAAGGTGGCTGTGGATGCAATCGTCAAGCCTCCTTGCAGAATCAGATCTGCCTACGGCTCTTGTTTAGTTGTTTATCTGGAGTTCTGAAATATCGTATTGATTGTTGCAAAGGAGAAATTTAAGGAATGTTCTGTGTTTAAGGGAAAAGTGACATTTCTCTTTCCTGTAAGATGATGATTAGTTAAGTGATTTTGTTCTCTTTATGTGAAGCCATTTGATTTTAAAATTTTGCTGTACAGAATGGAACAGGAAGACAATGAGCTCAAGCACAACTCCAAGTTAAAACAACTGATGAGGGAGTTTAACACCCAGCTGGCACAGAAGGAGCAGGAACTGGAAGCCACCATCAAAGAAACCATCAGTAAGTGAAGTCCAAATTTGTTAACAGAGAAACTGGAATCATCCTCATAGAATGTAAAAGTTAAGCTCCAATCTTCTTGTCACTGTGCAGCGCCCCCCTGGTCACAACCCAAAACATTCTTTCCTTAGGATATAGTGTGGTAGAAGTAGTATGGCCTGGGAACTGGGCTCTCTTTATCATTAGAAGAGAAGGGGAAAGTGCACAAAGTGTACAGCATTACCCTAGTCATCTGACAGTGGCCGGGGTGGGTGAGGGTGTGTGTCTGTGTGTCTGTGTGTGTGTGAGATTTAACTTAAAATTCCCACAAGCCTTTGTAGGAGTCAGAAGTAGGGGAAAATAAAACAATGAAGCTGACACACATCAGAAGTTGGAATGTAGGAGCAGCTAGGTGGCGCAGTGGATAGAGCTCTGGCCCTGGAGTCAGGAGGACTTGAGTTCAAATGTGGCCTCAGACACTTGACACTTACTAGCTGTGTGACTGTCAGCAAGTCACTTAACCCTGATTGCCACACTAAAAAAAGCAAAAAAAAAAAAAAAAGTTGCAATGTACTGATTTTCAGAGTTTTGTAAGGCAGTGCATAGTGTAGTGTTCTGTTGTCTTTCCTTGTAATGTTTAACAAATGAGATGTGCTGGCAACTCTGGGTGTGTGTGTATGGGGGCCTGTGTGCTCACGTGTAGTGTATATGCGTGTGTACTTGCACGTTCATATATTTATATCATTGTATACACAAAGGATATATATGTACAAATACTGTTTCTTTCATGTGATGCTGATAAGTTCATTAAGCTCATCTGAGAAGGCTTTTCCCCCTGAAGCTGGACTAGAGTAATCTCTCCTTGTCTAATGCCTTTTCCTCTGCCCTCTTCTCTTGTGTTTGTCAGGTAAGGCCCAAGAAGTGGAGGCAGAGCTCTTAGAAAGCCACCAAGCAGAAACGAATCATCTGCATAAAAGAATTGCGGATAAAGAAGAAGATTTAAAAAGAACAGCCAAAAGATATGAAGAAATCCTTGATGTAACCCTGTTTTTGTTTGCTTCTTTTAGCTTAAGTTAAGTTTATTTCCTCCCAATCAAAGATGAAGTTATAGGGGCACTTGCTCTCTAAGATGGTTTTGTTCCATTAACTCTTCAAATGAAGACTTCTGTACAAGACAGATTCCAAAATTTCGATTGGATTCTTCTATGGCTTCAGCCTACTCAGGAGTTTGAATCTATCATCAAGCATTTTTTAAGGCTGAGGGCCAAGCCTCGAGGCAGGTACAGGAATACATGGATCCCATAGCTCCAGGTCTGAGCCTTGGTTTCCTCGTTTGTTAAGTAGGAAGGAATTTTCAGACTTCTTAACAGAATAATTCCAAGCAAAGTGCTTTTTGGGTCACCCTTATTAACTGTCATTGGAGTTAGCAGAACAGTGCTTTTGTTGCTACCATTTTGCTCACCTAGGATTGCCACATGCTTAAATAATCATATGTTATTTGATGTCTCTTGTTAATTAACTTTTTTTATCTCAAAGGCACGAGAAGAAGAAATGACTGCTAAAGTTATTGAACTACAGACACAGCTGGAACAGCTGCAGAAGGAACACCAGCAGCGACTCCATGAGGAAGAGGAGAATCCAAGCAGTGAGAAAGTGAGGAAGCCCCCATTTCCTCAGTGTCTGCTTTGTGAAAAGCACGGGACAGAGCGAGGCAGGCAGGGATGCAGAACGAGGCCCTCAGGGAGTTGAGCATCCTGGGCTGGGGATAGAACGTACCCTCAGTGTGGGTGTCAGAGCACAGAAGGCGGTGCCCAAAGGGCCGAGGAAGGACAGCCAGCCAGTGCCCAGGGAGAACAGGAGGAGGGGCCTGCGCGAATGGGCGCGGGAGCCTCGCCCTTCAGGGCTGGTCTGGCGAGGGAAGGGCAGAGTGAGGCTCTCACCTCTTCCATTCTAGACACTGGGTCTCTGGCTGCCACCCAAGATCACCCAAGATTAGTTTTCTTGCCCTGACTCACGTGCAGGGGGTAGGGGGTGGAATGAGCGTTTATTAAGAGTCGGCTTTGTGCCAGGCGCTGCGCTAATTAAGCGCTTATAATACGATCTCATTTGAGCCTCACGGCACCCTGAGAGATGTGGAAACTGAGGGAGACAGAGGTTAAGTGAGTTGCCCGGGGTCACGTACTCTTACCTACTGTGCCACCAAGTAGCCACTATTTCTATTGAGCCTTTAGCCTACTAAGGTCTCTAGATTGTTTGTTTTTGTTTTGTGTCACAAACTGTGGTCTAGGCCTTCCTGATCCTGTACTGTAAAATTGAGTTTTTTTTTTGAACCAAAGTGTAAGACTTTGTATACTTGTTCCTTTAAAATTTGATTTGATTTGATTTGGCCCATTGTTCTAGTCAGGGATTTCCCCCCATTTTTATCAGAAGATTTTTTTTGTTTTTTTATTCGATTTTATTTGATTTTCAGGTCCATATTCTCTCCCTTCCACCTTCCTTCAGTCCGTCTTTGAGAAAGCAAGAAAAACAAAACCTGTTACAAACATATATAGTAAAGCAAAACAAATACCCACATTGACCATATTCAGGAAAAAAAACATGTCTCAGTCTATACTCTGAGTCCATCACCTCTCTGTCAGGAGGTGGGTAGCATGTTTCATCACCAGTCTTCTGGAATTATGATTGGTCATTGTGTTGATCAGAAGTCCTGAGATTTTTAGAGTTGTTTGTCTTTATAATACTGTTGTTATCGCATAAATGATTTTCCAGCATCTGCTCACTTGCTGTTGCATGAATTCATACAAGTCTTCCTTAGTGTTTCTGAAACCACTCCCCTTGTGATTTCTTACAGCACAATAGTATTCCATCACATTCATATTCCACAACTTGTTCAGCCATCCCCCAGTTGATGGGCAGCTCTTCAGTTTCCAAGTCTTTGCCGCCACAAAGAGAGCGGCCATAAATTTTTTGTACATATGGTTCCTTTTCCTTTTTTTTTTTTTTTTTGAAAATATCACTTTGGAGTATAGATCTAGCGGTGGCATCGCTGGGTAAATAGCTTTTTTGCTAGCTGGGAGTTCTTCACCTGAGGTCTGTGATTTTTTTTTTTAAGATATTTTGAGCACTATATGTCTTTATAATTGGTTTCCTTTGGATTCTATGTATTTTATTATCCCTATTTAAAAAAAATTACTCAGAGAAGGGGTCCAGTAGTTTTCCCTAGCCTGCCAAAGGAGCCTATGACACAAAAACTGATTAAGGGCTGCTGTTTTTAGCCCATTGTGTTGTTTTTGGATTTTGAGCGTTACCATTTCTCTCAGGACTTCCTCTCAGCTTCATTTTGGCCTGTGTTCATGTCATGATAAAAGTGTTAAAAGCACGAGGTCAACAGTGTTTCCTTGGATCTCTCTACCTGAAACCTCGCTTCAAGTGGATCAAGACCTGTTTCAAATTCAGTCATTGCCCAGTTTTGTATTCACTTAACTGTACTGTCTTCCAACCCGTATTTCCCCATCTTGTCCACAAGGATAGCATTACCTCAGGTTTCTCTTGAGGGTAGAGTGAATATTGGACATTGAGAGGGTTTTCTTGCCACGCTGAGGCTTTCTTGGGGGTGTGATTTTAGATTATAATTCTGTTCTAGATAAAGCAGAATATTTTATTTGTCGTTTTTTTCAGTCTCTTTTTGTTGTTGCTCAGTAGTGTTGCGTCCAACTCTTTGTGACACTATTTTGGGGTTTTCTTGGCAAAGATACTGGAGTGGTTTGCTATTTTCTCCTCCAGCTCATTTTATAGATGAGGAAACTGAAGCAAACAGGGTTAAGTGGCTAGCCCAAGGTCTCACAGCTAGGAAGTCTCTGAGGCTGGATTTGCACTTAGATCTTCCTGACTTCAGGCCTAGTCCTCTATCCCCTGTGCCACCTAGCTGCCTTTTTGGTCATAATCTGCAACATTTATTGTCATTTTACTTCTTTACTTTTTAGATTTATTCACCTCCGAATCTCATCTCCGCTCCAGCGGTTGACATTTATTCTTGGCCTAGTTGTACCATGATTCTAATGCAGTGCATTAAAAAAAATTTATTTTACTTGCTGTCATTGAGAGGTTTGAGAGGGAATTAGAATAAGCAGAAATATTGCCTTAAAATTCTTAAGAGTTCCTGAATATGTGTACAGAAATAAGCATTTTGAAGAAGATTTAAGAAAGTTTTTTAAACAATGATTTTACATTATCTTCCTCACAAATTAAAAACTGATTGAACAACTAGAAACTTGGCCTGTTAATTCTTGGCATTTTCACATCTGCCTCTTTGATGGTTGTTTCAAGCAGGAACATTATCTTTTCTCTTTTTTCCTTTTTTCAGGTAACAATAATGGATCTCCAGGTAAGTGTTGAATTTCATTGGCTCAGATTCGATACTTTTATCGAATCTTTTATTGAACTACGTTTTCAGGAGAGTTTTGTGTTATAGCTGAGCCAGGAAGAGGCTGTTATTAACCAGAAGAAGCTCCCTGGTAGTGTGAAATATGTCCCTGTGTTAATGAAGAGTCGTTTGTTTGAAAAGTCCCTTTTTTGTTCTTTCAGACCCAGCTGGCCCAGAAAACTACTCTTGTCAATGATTCCAAGCTGAAAGAGCAGGAGTTCAGAGAGCAGGTGAAGAGGGAGGCTTGGATTTGTATAAGAGGAATTTATAGCAGGATGTGGTTGTGCAGGCAAACACACACTCATTCCCACTTGGAATCCTGGCTCCTGCGAAGGCAGAGGCAGGCCGCTTACTTCAGGTGTCCACACTAATCCCATGCTGGTATGGTGAGCTCTAGGGAGCAGGGCTGGGGTGAGGTCGGGAGGGTAGGTACTCCTTGACTGCCTAAGGAGGGGCAAAGGGGTTTAGGCTCAAAGGTTTCAGCCAGATCTGTTCTCTTAGCTTGAGTAAGGTATGGAGACCCATCTCCAAAAAGGGGGGAAAAGGTATCTATAATGGTTCTTATTTTGAATATTGAACATCTAAACTTGGCTTTCATTTAGCTAGAATTTCATTCTGCTGATTAACAGTTGGCCTTGCAATTTTTTTGAACTACAGTATGAATTTTATTTCTGAATCAGAATGATTACATTTTTAATGAAAAATCATTTTCTGTGATTAATGTAAATTTAATGTCTTAATTTTGAGATTAAGATAATATTTAAATCTCTTATTTGGTCCTTTAATTATACTTAACTGATGAGAGCCTGCTTTTAGTTCTTGAAGAGCATTTATCTTTGGATAAAATATTGAGTTTATGTTACTTGTTACAAGGTTCAATTCTCAGAAGAATCTTTTTTTTTTTTTTCCTTTTTGCTCATAAAGTAAAAAATGAGACAGTTAGTTGAAGTTAATTTTTGGGTTGGTGGATTCATTGTGTATACATGTATACTAAGTATTAAGACTTGTGTGTAGCCAAAGAAAGCTACAGGGTTAAGTAGCTGTGCTTAACCTTTAGAAGTGTCTCCTCAAGTGCATTGACTTGAGTTTTCAGCAGATACTTGCAGAGATTTGTCCATTTCCTCCTCTCCCTTAGTTTCTTCTCTTCTTGTTGGCTTTAACTACCACCCTCTCTGTGTTTTGGGTTCCACAACATTTTTGGTCTTCTCTAGTGACTTTGTGGCACAGGAGCTCAGTTCTGAGAAGTACTTTTTGAATACTCTTCTTTTAGTCTCCAGTCCTCACCCTTGCCTGTTACAGATTGTTGTAACGTTAACTTTGATGGACTTCTACCTTGGCAATCTTTTTTGTAATCCTAATTTATATAGCCACTGTGACTTTTTAGACAGATCTCTCATTTTTCTTCATATTTTTTTCATCTATTTTGTTGATTATTTCTAGATTCATACATTAGAAGACCGTTTAAGGAAGTATGAGAAGAACATGTATGTTACAACAGTGGGGATGCCTTACCAAGGTGAGGATAACTGCTCATTTTTTATTAGGCATTAAATAAAAAACAGTTTCTTTTTTACTAAGTATTGAATAAACATAATTTCTTAAAGTAATCCTTAGATTCCATCTGCTGTGATTTGGAAATAGTACTTCCTTTTGAGTTAAGTAGCTACAATACCAGGTTAAGTGTGGCTGGATGAATCTTGTGATGCAGTTACGCTAGTCCCGGTAGGTGCGCTAATTACTTTTTCAATTCCTAGACTTCATGAAAAGTAGCTGAAAAATTAAAAAAAAACAAACCAACCTTTGTTTTTTCAAATATAATTTTTTGACATTTTTCTGTGGTTTTGAAAGCTCCACAGTTCCTCCTGATTTGAGAATAAGAGAAAGAAGAGAGAAATCATTTCAGTCAAAATCTGTCCTCTTCACTCATGGAGCCATCACTTTAGTTCTGGCCTTCATCACCTTTTACCCAGAAAAATTAGCCGTAGCTTGCCGGCTGGGCCGCTGGCCTTGGGGCTAGCTGCACTCTTATCTAGCTTTCATTGACTCTCTGTTACCCTTGCATTTAGCATTTAGAGGGCCCTTCGTTTCATTCGTCTTCTTCCATGTTATCCCTCAACACATTTATGATGTAGCCATTCTGGCTGACTTGCTATTTGAGACACTTCAAAGCCTTCCCTCTGAGATTACCTTTGTGAGATGCTTTGTGTGTATCCCGTATATACCACGTGATTTCCTGCATTAGAATGTAAGCATCTTGAGACTTGCATCCTCCTACAGAGAAAGAACTGATGTTGGTATTGTCTGAAATACAGACTGAAGCAGACTATTTTTCACTTTTCTTCCTTTTTTTTTTTTGTTTGAGTCTTCTTGTACCAAATGAATAATATGGTAATGTTTTATGCGGTTGCACATATATAACCTGTATTGGATTGCTTACCATCTTAGGGAATGGGGAGGGGACAGAGAGAGGGAGGAATAGATTATGTAACTCTGAACTTTAAAAAAAAATTTTTAAATTGTTTTAACATGTAATTGGGGAAAAATAAAAAAAAATTTTTTTTAAAGGGAATTGGGGTTAAGTGACTTGCCCAGGGTCACACAGCTAGTAAGTGTCAAGTGTTTGGTCTGAGGCCAGATTTGAACTCAGGTCCTCCTGACTTCAGGGCCGGCGCTCTATCCGTTGCGCCACCTAGCTTCCCCTAATAAATTTTTTTTTTAAAAAAATTGAGGACAGGCATTGCTTTTGTTTTTTATGTGTATCACTAAAGGAGTTCAAGGGATCTTATTAGTTTGATTGGTCTTTTTGTTTGAAAAACCTTGGGATAATGGGCATGTTCCAAAAGCCATTTAAAATGCTTTATGACATTGGACTTATTTGTAGTTACCAGTTTTGACAAGTTCTCTTTCTTTGTCAGTTTTTACTCATTAAGGCAAAAATCTAGGTCCCAAATTAATTCTATTCAGCAGAACATAGGTAATAGGAGCTTGTGTCTAGATTAGCTCATTAGTGGGACCTCACACACAACCTTCATCTCCTTTCTCCAGGCATTTTCTGTGGCTCTTGCCCCAGGCCTGGAATTCTTTCTCTTTGCGTCTCTACCTCCAGGCTTTCTCCTTTCTTTCAAGTCTCAGCTACAATTCCACCTTTCCTAAGAAGCTTTTCCTGATCCCCTCAATTATCTCTTGTTTCTTCTGTATAGATCTTTATATATATATATATATATATAGTTATTTGCATGTTTTCTCCCCTTGTTAGACTGAGAACAGTGACCCTGTTTTTTGCCTTTCTTTGTATCCTCAGCACCCAGCTCAGGCCTAGTTTGTATTAGATGCTCAGTAAATGCTTGTTGAATTGACTGCCACCTAGCAGGGTCAGGCAAAGCTCCCTGTAGGAGCTGAAGGAAACCAGGCAGTGTCCTAGCCAAAGGAGGGAAAGAATACGTTCTAGGCATGTGGCACAGCTTGTGCAAAGACATGGTGTTTGGAGATGGAATGCTAAGTTTAGACAGCAGCAAGTAGAGCAGTTTGGCTAATACTAATAATATGGCTAACATTTGTGTAGGGCTTTATGGTTTGTAGAGCGCTTTATAGATATCATCTGGTTTTTATCCTCACCAACTCTGGGAGGTCCATGCTGTTATCCTCATTTTTTAGATGAGGCAGTCCCTGTTCTCAAGGAGCTTACATTCTAATGGAGACAGCATAGAGGGAAGGTTTCAGCTACAAGTTAATTGGAAAAGTCCCGTGGTCCTTAAGGCACAGCAGGATTTAGATGGTACTGCTTCTTCTTTAATGCCATTATTTAGTGTTCCTGTTCCCAGGCTCTTGGGTTCAGGGTCTGAAGGCCGGCATATGCTTTCTCCCATCTCCCTCAGGGTTCCTGGCTGCTTCAGCTAGGTTGGTTTCCTTGCCATATGTGTGGCAGCTAGTGGGGTGGTAGAGCCCTCTTCCATAGGAATTACTGCCCTGGATAATTGTTGTGAGTGCTGGGTTGGATGCAGGAATCATATGTATAATAGAATTTCCTCTTTTTCCCCCCTCAACCCTTTCAAGGATGAAATTCTCAATAAGGGAAGTCAAGAAATTATTGAGTGCTCTGCCTTTGGCAGAAAGAGAAGTCTGTCAGTTGGTGCATCGAACCAGTTATATGAGAGGGTACAGTAAAATGAGTACTGCTGTTGTAGTTGAAATACGGCCCAATATTTGATATGAAGAACACTTCATCTAATGGGGTTACTTGACACTAAGCTTCCTTGTCATGTTTCTTAGGCCAGTCCATACCTCTACTAGCCTGTCCATGTAGCTAAGCTAACTTTGATGAAGTGGAATTGGTAGTGTGTATACTGAGGTGTCTCTCAGGTTATGAAGACATAGGGTAATCAAAGTTTTGCTGTGATATATTCTCCCGAGTATTTTTTTTTTTTTAATCTGGTCTATCTACAGACTTTATGCCATTGTTATTCTTAGAGATTGTTTCTTAAATTGTTCAAATTAAAAAGAGTAAAGGAAGAAATTGTCTTCATTGCTTTTTTAAAATTAAATTTTAATTTTTTTTCAGTGAACAAAAACTAGTTTTTTTCTCTCTTATGCTACTCTCATTGGAAAAACAAACAAACCAGAATCTTACAACAAATACAGAGTGACTTGAGCAAAACAAAATCCTTCGTTGACCATGTCAAAAAATGTGTGTGTGTGTGAGATTTTACACTCGAGTCCATTGCAGCATACTTCATTATCAATCCTCTGGATTCATGGGTTGCTATTTCATTACTGCTTTCAAAGTTGCTTGATTTAACAGTGTTGTTTTGTAAATAGCTCTGCTTCTGCACACTTTAGTTCATACAGGTCTTCCCAAGTTTCCCTGAAATCGTCCCCTTCATCATTTTGTGGCACAGTAGCATTCCACTACATTCATATACAATTCAGAATTCTTATTCGGGCATGGATTAGACCTGAGGGCTTCCATTTTACTTCTGAGAGTCTAACATTCTGGTACTTGAAGCACTGGGTGGACTTCTCAAGAATAAACACTTGAAAACAATAAAAAGCTTTGTGCTTTCATCAGGAGGAGGCACAATAGATTCGAGTAGATCTAGGGAGTTGTCTGAGCCTGAGAGTAGTTATGTGACAGCTGGGAATTGTTAGTGGCAAGATTTGAGCCAAGGTTTTTCTTATGTCAGGCCCGGCATTCTGCCTGTCTTATCATGCTGCCTTTTGGCAAAACATGTTTATTTGTATGAGAATAATCTGCACTGGGGTTATTTAAAGCGACGACCCAGAAACAAGATAGATCGATCGAGAGGCATTTATGTCCCTTCGGAAGCACTTAATAAATGCTTGCTGACTTGAAGCTTTAGCTTTTGCATACTGTAGTAAGAGATTTTAAATAGAATGTAGGACAGGACAGCATATATGGGAAAATTATGTAAAAGAGCAGGGAGAAGTGCTTCTTTGGAAAACATATTTTCTAGAAACAAAATTACATTGGATACATTTCACTAAGGGCCCTGGTGGTTTCCACAATATGAGTAGACGTTTGTGTTCCCAGATAAAAGTTGATTTCTTTATTATGTATCTGAAATGTTTGTTCTTTGTACGTTTCAAATTCAAAATAGAGTTTTGACAACACGTAATCTGTAAACAGTTTTTCTATCAGCAGTCATTCAGTCAAGCATGCAATATTTCCTGTTTGAATGAAAATGTTTAAAACCCGAATAAAAGAGAAAAGTTCATTTGCTGTTGTAGTAAACTTAACTTCATCTATCCCATATTTTGAAATGAAGTCTTTGTGAACTGAAAACTATTAACTTTCACATTGTAAAAGGACTGTCGTTTCAGAATATTACACAGACAAAAAGAGTTTTGATAGAATAGTAAAGGGAGATGATTCTGCAACCTTTTAGGGTAGATGAACTATCTTAAGTGAATGAATTAAGTCATGGGAAAAGGCAGTTTGGGGGAGTTACTGCAGCCCTTCCAGACATTCTTTGTTGAAGTGAAAGTCACAGGCTCAGGCTTTCTCCTCTGAAGTGAAAGTCCATGCCGGAAAACCTGAAGTTTAGGAAGTGTATGGATCAACATAAAGCAAAGGCAGGCCTACGCTCGTGGCCAGATTTCATCCACATAATTACACCATCAGGCAAAAATTACTCCCTCATTTGTTCTTTTGATTGTTTTTAGTCTACTTATGTTTTAAATGATAAGCAGTTTATTGACATGATTTTCTTTATCATTTGTACTTGATCTGTTTCTCGACAGGGGGTAATCTGTGCCATGCTGATGTCTCTCTATTTGGAGAGCCGACTGAGTTTGAGTACTTGAGAAAAGTGCTCTTTGAATACATGATGGGTCGTGAAACTAAGGTATGGAAGAAACCCTGTTTCTGGTGACGTATCGTATGCTGTAGTTTAGAAGAGAGAACGTTGCCCACGTGCCCTCACCATGGCGTTTCGTTTAGCGCGTCCCATGCCGTGCTCTTAGACGATTAGATGGCCATAGACGACTATCTGATACAGGTTTTCACTCTTGCTGCGTGAAATGAATTGGCAGATCTTGCTTAGGTTCATTACATCTGTAAATATTAATTTTACGATTGCTATTGGTGATGCTGATTAGTAGAAGTTATACTTAGGTTGAATTGTGCCAGGAATAATTTATTTTGTGACTTCAGATCTTCTAAAAATAGGAAAATGATTTTTTTCTCATTTCTTTGGTTATTGTAGCAATATTTCAAATGTTCCAGAATAAAGAATACATGTTTAGGAGAAACTATAGTCTTTTACTTTGGTTAGGGGAAAAATTCATCAACAGTGCCCAGGAAGTAGCTGGTGACTTTAGCATAAAGTGCTCTATGCATCTAATGGCCTGGCCCATCCATTTTGTAGGAAGTGTACATGTGTCCAGAGCCCCTGCTGAGCTGGAGGCCTCCCCTGAGGGCAGCGTCTTTTACATGCAGCTTCATGTCATAGGAATAGAAGAACACGTAACATGTGTCTGTGGCATGTGGAGAAATACTTGAATGCTTTAAAGTTTGGGCCAGGGTGCTCCTCTTACTCTGCCTGACTTTGAGTGAGCCCGAAGAGGAGAGGACAGCTGTGTTCGGGCAAATTAAGGTTTTGGTTTCTAACAAGACCTTAAATAAAAGCAGAGGAGCATACACCCTGCTGGGTTCACTCCCTGAACACTGGGAGTGAAACTCAGGTTAGCCCCTCAGCTGGGCAGTGCAGTCAGAGTGACAGGACTCCCTGCCGCCCCAGACCGCCCTCTTTTGGCAGCTTGGCGACATGGGACACACAGTTTACCGTGATTCTGTGTGGGATCACCGCTTACCCAGTCAGTGTGAGGCTTGGCAGTCTCACCAACACGGATGAAAGACCACATGTCAGAAAGGCCCAGTCTCCCCTGCTGCAGTGTTCCTGGATGATGGCCTTCCTGGGTCAAGGAGAGGACGATTCCACTTACTTATTATCCACCACGCAACTTTGAAATGTCAAACCTTTCTTCTGGTCTCTCATCGGACCTTGGCTTCCCCTCCCTCCTTTCTTGTTTGTGCCCTGAGGTCAGGCTGTGGTTTCATCTGGTGCTTGTTTACATGGGTTCACCTTCACCTGGCTCAGTTTGTCAGTGTGCAAAATGGATCAGGCCTCAGCCTCCCTGTGAGGGAGGGGTCGCGTGGATAGCATGAGGATGAACAGAGAAGAAGGTCGAAGACATGGTGTCATCGAGCATTAGGCGTGTCCTCATTTTTGCCCCTGCAGCCACATGCAAGAATGGCCTTAGTGGAGCTTTTTTGTGAAAGCTTAGTGATTCACAGTCTGCCCGAAGGTGAGGAAGAAGAGGTCTGTTTTGCTTTCCCTGGGTAAAATCATATAGCTTATTTATTATGCTTTTCTAGCTACTACAAGTGAAAGATGATCTGTTGTAATTCTGTCATGTCCTCCAGTTGGTATTGAGAAACAGCCAACCATGTCACTCCTCTTCTGGGGTGGGCTGGACACCTCTTTCCATGCTGACAGACTTTAGACACTAGCTGAGAATTCCAGAGGATGGCGCCCATGAGGGCTGTCCCTTTATGATGTCATCATCATCCGCAGCTCTGCCACATTTTGCAGGATGCACGTTTTCCTTGACCTGTGTTGCTTCATCTGCTATTGCTATTACTCGTGATGGCCTTCATTTTTATGGTAGGTGATTTTAAAAGAGTCAAGTGTTTGCCACGGAGAGCAGCACCCAAAGTGCCTTCCTTTCCTTTCTTTTTCTGTTTCTTAGGTTCTGAATATCTAAGCTGTTGTCAATAGAGAAAGTCAGCCCTTTGCCCCGTTTGGGTTAAAAAAAAGCATTTGCTGCTCTCAGCTGTTGTATAATGACCTCTCCTTATGGAAAAGGAGATCAGCAACAGTTTCCACTATTTTAGCTTCCCATTTCTCCCCTACTGTATCTGGAGTGTGTTGTCACAACAGTGTTCTATGGCAGTGGGCCTGGGCATCTCTGTTAAGATGGCATCTTCTGTCATACTTGGCAAGAGTTTAGGCTTCCTAATTGGGCAGTCAGCAAACACTCTATTTTTAAAAGGGGACATCATAGTGAATTAACCAACTGCACCCAAAAAAAAAAAGTCTGATGAAGTGAATGTTGCTTTTTTCCCTATTCACGTGGTGTCTAATAAATTGTTTAGCAAATTGACAAATGGTAGAATAGTTAATTGCATTTCATTTATTCAAACAGATTTTTGGATACACATATGTCCAGTATGTGCCTTCCTAACAGGTTAGCTAGCCCTTTAATATTGCATGTTTCTAAGCTGTTTGTAATATTTAAGTAGCACAAGTAGATTTTTGTGACCTTGAACAACCTATGTCAAGTGCACCAAAACCAATTCTCTTTGTAAGGATCTTTGTTAAGATGGATCTTTAAGGCCTCTTGAGAATTTTGACCTTCTGTGACCATGCTAGGAAATGAACTCTGAAATAATTAGGATGAATTATTGGTTGGGCATGTTTAAGACATCAACATGTTTCAATTTTAGACTTAGTACAGGGCTGTGCTCTCCTAATTAGTAAGGTGATAGTTGAAACAAGACTTTCTCTCAGTTGCTTTTAAAAATTTTTTGAGAACTGAATTATGCTTTTTGAGTCTTATTTTTCAGCCTGTCATGGTAATGGTAGTCTTGAGGGATATGAGAATTGGAAAAACCAAAATTTATAGTTTATAGTATTAGTTCCTGGTTTGTGGGACATTCTTAGTGTACCTGGGTCTTACGTTGACTCTGTAGTAAGAGCATTCTAATGACAAACTTTTAAATTGGGTAAGAATTATGGCATTGATTTTTGTCACATGTGATCATAAAAGTACTTAGCTAATGACAGGCAGAATTTCATCTCAGATACCCTTCCACCTCATACATACATGGACTCACACACAGCAAAACACATACCCACGGAGATGTACTTTGTATGTGCAAAAATGCATGTTGGCAAAGGAAAAACGCTCATGAGGTTATCTCTCCTGACTTCTCACACAGTATAAGAAGAGTCTCTGTAGCATCCCTGAGAGCTGGGCATGATTTTATATTTAAGCACTGAATTTGTTATTTTCATAAGTGGTGTCTTCTTTCCTCTCTGTTTCCCTCAAAACTCCTCACCTTGAGAACCAAATAGGGAAAGTTTCATCCTTTGAGGAGAATTTTCCAGGAGCTTATGGGTAACAGCCTGACTTACGGTGTATTTATCCAGATCTGCACAACTTAGGATCTTGTTTTGCGAGCTGCCATGTATAATGTTTTGATTCATCCGTCTTCCGCAAAGCAATACATCCTGTGTTGATTTAAAATCTGAGTTGTTTTTCCAGTAGGCTGATGTGCTGCATGTCTTGGGGAAGAAAACCCAAACTTCTGAGCATGTTCCTGTCCATGCAGTAGCCAGTGTTTGTGAGATCTGTGATGTGATAGAGGCTCAGTTGGGCTGGGGTGACCATCCATTTCGGATTACTTTGAGCGTGTCTTTTGTCCTTGCATCAGTTCTCAGATAGATTGTTCCAAAGGAAAGGCCTTACTAATTGATGAGCCATTTATTGCAGTTTTCCTAAGTTCATCTTAACAAGATGAAAAGGGCTAAGAGTATTTGAACTTGGTGGTGCCAGGTAGCTTCTGCTCTTTGAGAAGCACCCTTTCATCACAAGATCAACCAAAAGACATCCAGGATTGCCGTCTAATTGGAATAATGTATTATTCAGTTTTGTATCTCGTTTCCTTGATTGACAGTCTTCACATCATACTTCATTTGTCATGGCTTTCTTTGAGATTTCTAAAGAAGAATACTCTTAGCTTGGTTAACAGATTTCTAGCTAGCGCATATCTGATTATTGTTGTTGGGCTTGGTTGCTGTGACGACTGTCATTAATCCTCTTTGATTTTTCTTGTAGACAATGGCAAAAGTCATAACTACAGTCCTGAAGTTTCCTGCTGATCAGACTCAGAAAATCTTAGAACGAGAAGATGCCCGGCCACTGGTAGGCTTTGCAAATGGACTTCATTAAGTTATCAATAAGCAAGCTTTGCCTTAGTCCTTCTTGCTCAAAGGCCTAAGAACGGAGAAGGATTTCACCCTGAGGAGGTTTAGCTAAGATCCTGTGTCAGTGGGTGTTTTACAAGAGAAAACATGTTTCCTTCTAAGGACTAGATACTTGTTTTTTCTCATTTCTGCTCTGTTAAGTTATGTGTAGGCACAAATAGGATAGTTAGGGGATGGATGGCATGTTTTCTGGTATAATTAGTCATCTCGTGAGCCTGATCCAATTAATGTCTTAGAGATTATGCTTCCTAATTCAGAAGCAAGCGATTCGAAGGTTCACTAATTCTTGATCATAGAATTCAAATATTACTGAGCCTTTGATACCCTCTGCAAGGGAGAAGGATGTAGTTACTCATCATTGGACAAAGCTTCTTTATGTAAAATCAGCTGTTTGGAAAAAAATTCCTCCTAAGTCATGCCAGGCACAACTGCCTCTCCTCATAGCTGCCAGACAAGAAAAATATCAGCGTAACCTTCTCTTTGTGCCTGATTAGCGAAGGCGACAGGACAGCCCTTAGACACAGTTGTAGGCTTGGACATTTGTCTTCTGCCTCTCTATCTCCTCTTTTTTTCTTATCTTTTCCCCTTCAAGGCCATGTGGTCCAACATTTACCTGAATAGTAATTCCCTCAATGACATCCCTGACAGACGGATGTTGCCTTTTAGAGAATTGTAAAGGCTAACTTGCTCTTTAGCTCAGTTTTCAATAAATCTGCCATTCCTCATTTTGAAAAGTCAGTCAATAAGCATTTATTACGTGCTTCCCGTGTGTCAGGCTCTAGGGGAAAAATGAGCAGATTGGGAAGGTCAGGCAAAAATGACTGACCTTCGTTCCTCTCCGCAATCGTCTTCTTTTAGTCTAATGGGCAAAAAGCCCCCAGAAAGCCCAGACACGTCCTGTGTGTGCCAGCTGCTCTCTCCATCGGCAGTTGGTAGCGGCTTGTGCAGTGGGCAGACAGTACAGTTTTAAGGGACTTGCATTATTTACTGGGCAGCAATACATTCTGGAAACTTGCCTTTATGACCTTGATAATTGCATGTTTACTTTTGTGCTGTCGCGTTGATGGGAAGTTTGCTCTTTGAGCTTGTGAGGTATTTCTCTGCTATTCCTTCCTTTCTATTTCCTGTGAATGTAACCTTATGCTCTGAAGAAATTTAATATAAAAATAATTGGTTTTTAATAAGTACTTCTGTAGCTTAACTCATTCTGGTAATGTATTCCAGAGCTGAAAGAACCATTGTCTGCAAATGTAATTGTTAGAAAATGTTTAACACTCAGAAATTCAAAATTTTTTTTTTATTTGGGGGGAAAAAAAAAGCTCAAGAAGAAGGCTTTAGTACTGAAGCTTTCTTCACTCCTGCTGCTTGCCCTCTTAGAGAACGCTCTTCTTCCCCCTTCTGCCTGTTTTCCTCTTACCTTTTCTTCGAGATCCTGCCCCAGTACTGGCACTCCCAAGAAGCTTCACTCGTGGCGTTTTGCTGCCTGCATGTGGCCTCCCAGTCTGGAGCCGGACACCTCTGGTTCCTCTTGTGTCTCAGTCCTTCCCTGATGGGACTTGTCATCATGTGTGCTCTCTTCAAGGGCTCTAAGGGAGGTGGGCACCGGGCAGTCACGACCAGCACACCTTTGCATATCTTGATCAGAAAT